TCAAAAAAAAAATCAAAGTTAGGTTCTTAGCAACAAATATTATATTTATAATTTCAATCAAATAATGGAATAGATAAATATAAATATATATATATATATATATATATATTCAATTTCATGATTTATGCCAGTCAAATATTGTTTGTGCGTAATATGCCAATAAAAAAACAAGTATTATTTTGTAGTGTGTAGGTACGTTTCATTTTTCAAATATCATTTATTTTTGAAAAAAAAAAAATTCTTCTTACTTGGTTTTGTGTTTTGCAGGATCCGTCACAGTAGTACTGATTAATAATAATAGGATTTTTAGCCCCGATGGTTATGATGTCTTGAAATGAGATCTTTCTGGCATATCCTTGCCCCCCCTACAATAACAGCTAGGAGTTGGGGTAAAAGAAGAAAAAACAGAGAGAGATGGACAAATTAATTAAAGAACAATCGTCGTGATCAATCGAGATTTCAATCTTACTTGCCACGTCTTGATCCGCGCTCCATTTTGAGTTCCATTAAAAGTACAATTTTTCACATGTATTTCCTCCACCCTCGCAGTCTCTCCATTTTTTCCTAAGCTCCCAACACTGTATCATTGTATATATTGTTAATGTATTCAACCAATGTAGAACTTCTAGGTTAGCATTATACTCTTAGTAGTAGTTTACTACCTGCAATGTTATTAGTACAGGAAAAAAAAAATTTCAACAGTTGTTGCATTGCACTCCTAGTAGTTTATTATTTTTTAATAAATAACATTAATTAAATATATTTTATATATTTTTAAATATTAAAAGACCAAAAAACTAACAACTACAGTTACATAGTAGCATTCTCAAATTAAGCCTACTAATTATAATGTTATTAGTGCTCACCTTATGCCATGACCTGGGCCGCAATTTATCTTAGTAATGTTGACAAAAGATGTATCTGCGTTAATTGCGATGCAATCATCACCTGTATGAGAAAGAAGAATAATTATTAGTGCGCGAAGGAGAGATTTATTAGATGATTTTATATTTCTAGCATAGAAAATACTTGCCAGTTCCAATAAAGCTGTCAAGGATTTGAAGGTAGGATGAGGAGGAAAGATCAATGCCGTCAGTATTAGGGCTTTCATCAGGTGCTATTAATTTAATTGAAGAAACTGATCCACCTCGGGAACCTATTATAGAAATGTGATTTCTTCCGCTGTTGATGGATGTTAATCCTTGAAGATTAAAGTCGGAAACGCCATCGAGTGCGAGTGTCTAGCCATCGTCAAGCAATAGTCTACATCAATAATTTGAGGCAACAACATATATACAAACATTTTTGCTTCTCAATATGTAGCTTTTTTCATTTTAACATAAAAAAGAATTTTTTTTTTTTCAATTCTATCATGAGAAGTTGCATGCATGGCAGCATGGGTATACATTACATATATAAGATCTAATATGAAAAAGGAAAGTGAAGAGACTGGGAACCGCAATTGACCCGCCATACACATAAACTGGTCCTGTTCGGGTTTTGTTTCGGTTTAGTCAGGTCCAATCAATTTTTTAAAAGACTATTTTTTTATCCAAAAAAACCTCTAAAAGTACTGTTATATGACTCTTGAGGAGAAGAAAGTTAATATTTCTTGTAAAACTAGTTAGGGGTAAAAATATTTTTGAAAAAACAGAAAAAAAAAAATGATTGCCAGTTAATTCTGGGCGATTCTTTGTCTGATCCCAAGTTAGATTCCAGAAATGATGGCCAGGACCTAGTTGGGCCCGGCCCGTTGCCCATCACTATTGGTACGGTAGGGAAGAGAAATGGTTACTCTAGGTTGTGACCCAAGCATTAAAGAAAAAAAAAAGACAAAAAAAAAAAAGTGGCAACCTTAATTTGGGTTTTAATTGCAAAATTTTGTAAATGGAGGAACAAAATAAAAAGTTGGAGATGAAAATTATACATTAAAAAACAAAAAGTGTTTTGCAACTTGAATTGCAAAACACTAACCACCTCATTAAGAGATGGTCTTTAATTTTAGGAAATGACTCTTCATCCAATTTGTGTTGTTTTGTAATTTGAACTATAAAACATCAAACATTAAAGAAAATACAAGTTCTTAAATTAGGGACAAAATGGCCAAAAAAGAGGGAGATCAAAAGATGGTTTCCTTACAGTTGGTCTGGTGCAGCCACTCATCTGCAAATATATAGATTGAGAGATGCGTTAGAATCTAAGAATCTTGCTTAATTTAAGTATATTAAATAGGAAGGAGTATAAAAAACAAATTAAACAAATTTGAAGGAGCAAAGGAGAGAAAATTTAGCATATGCATTGGATATTTTAACGGAGTTCAAAGAAACAAATTTACTATTGTGATATGATATTAGCAACTACTCCCTTTAAAAGCTCTCCTACAGTACTCTCTTTGCAATTGGCTTATGTAACAAAATTTTCTCTTTTCTTTATTCCATTGAAAGTTGACGTTATTCGAACTCCACCAAGCGACCCGATAGGTCACGCACCTCATTAAGGGAGATGAAATGTTCATTAGATTTGAGGATCGAATCCTCAATTACTAACAACTAATAACATTAACCTACTAACCATTGTCTTTATTAAAAAAAAAAAAAAAGGAAAAAGAAGAAAGTTGACGTTGTCCATGTCACGTGGACCAATTACAAAAAAAAATTATATATCCCGTAGCTCATGCACCCAGAGAAAAGTGTTCGAAGGTGAGTGTGCTAAAAACAATTTTGCTAGATTTCTCTTTGTAGATATTGTTAACTCACCTCTGGGCAAGATTGCCACCAGATGGACCCTTGTCCATCAAGCTTTCCATTTCCGGATATTTCAAATCCCTTGATATCTCTGAAGACGAGCCATTTACTTGGATCATGTCCTTTCCAACTTGATAAATCCCCAGGTGCAACGAGATCACCCAAAACCTGCACCACATTATCGAAATATGTTACTAACCTCTCTAGTTATGCGGACTAAAAAAAAAAGGGAAAAAGAAAAAAAACTTGAGTTCGAGTTATTTTTAACTAGAATTTTTTTATAAGAAAATTAGCAATTAATTTGGGATGATAAATTTGAACTTGAAGCGTATTATGATTCTTCTCCTTATCGTGATAAAAGCGTTTAGAAAGCATTTACCTGAACTTGAACAGATGACTTGCATGGACCTTCAAACTTAATAGGCGTTAGTAAGAATGTCTTGCCACTAGGAATATAGAGAGAGTGACGACCTTGTTGAGAAGCACCACAAACTGCTGCCCATGCCTTGTTAAAAGCCTTTTGCATTTCAGGACATAAAATCAAAAGGGATACTAAATTAATCCATGACCAAGAGGAGGAGAAGAAGAAGAAAAAGAAGAAAAAGAAGAAGATACTTCAGAATCATCTGTTTTTCCATCTCCAACAGCTCCATAATCCATTACATTATAAGTATCAGAGTAAACTATGGTTGCCATGCACAAGATTGAAAAAATGAATATAAGACCCTGCAAATATACATGTATATGAGATTTCAAGTGAGAATAACAAAATAAAAAAAAAAAAAGAACGTTCTAACGTTCTTTTCATGTGTTGAGAGCTGAGAAATTCACATCTTTTACATACCATGCTGATCATATAGCTGAGAACCGGATTTCTTACAAAATATATCGCATGCAGCACTCTCAGTGTATAATGACACTGCTGTGGGTGAGGCAGGTCTTGGTTCTTCTCTATATAAGATTTTTTGAGATAACAATTTATTGTTATACTGATTATGTATTGTCTGAATATTGATATTTAAACTTTAATTTAGAAGAATATTTTACATATTCCTCTAAACAAATTAAAAACGGTTAAGTAAATTTGCATTTTGATCCGCAGAAGGGTTAAGTAACTAATTAAGTTTCCATCTCAATTTCATTTCAACAAATATATTTTCTATAGTTTCAAGATATGTACTATTTTGTGTTTGATTCTAATCAACTTAATTAGGAAATGGATGTGGGCTTGGTTCCAATCACAATTCAGACATCTAAAACCGAAAATTGTTGTTTGGACACAAAAAAACTGAAAAAAGAAAGTATAACTCCTATCGGAGAAGATTATTTTCGATTTGTCTACCTTAAGAAGGATTCTAATTAGGGAAGGAAAAGCAAGCCATTGAAAATATAGAAATCCCAATGATTTCATTTATATATTTAGCCAAACTGTTTCCAAAACAATATCCACTTTACCTCTTAATTTTTTTTCTACATCTAAATGGATTATATAAGAGGAAATAGTCTTATTATTTCCTTAAGTCTCTCTTCATTCAATTCAAAATTCGAACTTAGAGATTTTCAATTTGAAATCTTAAATTCTTAACCATTGAGTTATCTCATTGGGATTAAGTTTACCTTTTATTTATTTATTTTTTTTTTACAGGAACAATGGTTAGAAATTAAAAGTTAGAAATTAATACTTTACTCTTAACAAAATTTGATCATTGATCAGAGATGTAATCCACCGATAATCCTATTGAGTTGCAGTGGCCACCAATGGACCATAACAAGAAAATGCACCTTTTAATTGAATGTTCAGCTTGAGATGACTGAAGAAAGGTAAAGAGAAGGAAAGAATTTTCGTGCGATTAAATTAAAATATTAGAATAAGAGCGTCAATAGTCCTTGTAATTTTAAAATTTTGTCACATTAGTCCTACAGTTGTTTTTTCTTACTCTTAATAAGGAAGGTTTAAGCTTAGTTTTGTCCGTGTTAGCCTATAACTGCAGTTGTAAATTTTTTTATTCTTTAATATTTTTAAAATATATAAAATATATTTAATATATTTAATATTTATTATAATTAACATTTTATATATTTTTAAAATAATAAAAAGACATAAAAACCATTAGCTTAAAGACTAAGAAATGTTGTTAAACGAAACCTTAATCGTAACATTATTGATCACTATTTCTATAACCAACTTGGTAGTTTAATACCTATCCTCTCCGAACTGAAACAATGGAACAGTGAAGCAAGAAAAAAAATAAAGTTTTATTATTTATGGCCTCTATGTTAAAGAGTGGATTTTTTTTTTTTATATTAAATTGTACAATGGAAAGCAGCCTTCTCACATCTCTTAATTCATCCCTTAATCCATCACATCCACATACTATGTAACT